GGGGAGCCCCTTTTTGGGGGCCTTACCCTGCCTGGGGAGGGGAGGGGGGATGGCTAGGGGCAGGTGGGATGTTGGGGGGAGGGGAAGGACAGGGAGAAGGGATTGACATCTGAAGCAAGCTTGTTCCTAATTTGAATTAATAAAATAAAAAATAAATAAATAAGATCTTTAAAAAAAAAAAAAAGAGTGAATCGTCAACCAGCATATAGATGGCCGTCCTAGGAAGCAGCTGCTGGAGACTGTTGTATGGCTTCTGGGGAATCTATCTAGCCGAGAGAGAAAGGGTACCTAACCAAAAAAAGTATTCCATCCAAGTCAAGCTGATCAGCAAGAGAATTCATTGGGATTGTATAAAGGAACAATGGGCAAAAGACATGTAGCTACCGGAAAAGAAATTGCTACACCAATAGTGAACCCTTGACCCTCCCCTTTTCAACTGGAAAATATTAATAGGCCCTGAATTCAGTCCATGGCAACACACCAAACAAAAATAAAAACCTGCCTTTTATGACTGGTGGTACAATATGATGTACTTTGTTTCCTTTGGAAATTTATTAATATAGCTACTAATTAATGAAAAGTTGATAGACACTCTAGCCAAGGGTTCTTGCAATGTAGCCCTAAGTTCCCCGGAACTCACTATATAAACAGGCTGACCCAGCTTGAAGCTATCTTTTTGTCTCTGCCTCGAGTTGCATATATGCATCATGACTGATTTGGAGAGGGGGAGTTGTCTGTTTTTTAAAGTCATGTTAGGGGCCAATAAGATGGTTCAGCAGATATAGGCACTTGCCACCAAGTCTGACAACATAAGTTGAGTCCCTAGACCCAGGTGATGGAAGGAATTGACTCTAACCTCATGCATACTGGCAAGTGAGTGCACACATGCACAATAAATGTAAAAAGGAGTTTAAAAAAAAATGGGCTAGCAAGATGCTTTTATGAGTAAAGGCACTGCCGTCAAGCCCAGAGACCCACATAGTATAAAGAGAATATAGGGAGACACTGTGACCACGGCTCCTAAGGGCTGGCTACAGGTGTGTCAGGGTGTGGTCAAGGTGATGTCAGGATGACGTGGGAGAAGTTTATTAGGGAATGCGCATGGTACCTCTTTTTTTCCCTGCTGCTTTGGCGTGCTCTGCGTGCTTGCCAGTTGGCTAGGGAATTCTGTAAGGCATTTACCTAATAAATATATCCTGACCATTACGGGCTATGTATTAGTAATTAATCGTAATAAGAGAATACTGAGTCACACAAGTCCTGACCTCCATATGTGTATAATGGCACATGTGTATGCATAATCACACGCTAAATGAATAAACTTGTATTTTTAAATTATGTTATAGGTGTGACAGTTTAATTCCCAGAACACACATAAGAAACCAAACATGGTGGTTTGTACTTGTAAGTCCAACACTGATGGAGATAGGTACATGGTGCTCACTGGTCAGGCAACAAAGCCTTACTTGGAAATTCCAAGCTTGTAAGAGACTGCCCCAAAATGAGTAACACACACATACACACAGAGTCGTATTCTACAGTGATGCATCTATAATTGCCAAGCTCCTCAGGCTGAAGCAGGAGAATCCTTTCAGTCCAGATATTTGACCCCAGTTTGGGTAACATAGTGATACTTCATCTTTTGACAACAACAAAAAAAAAAGTTGAGTAAACAGGATAGTAACTAAGAAAAAGGTGAAACTTTTTTTTTTTCAAGACAGGGTTTCTCTGTGGCTTTGGAGGCTGTCCTAGCTCTTGTAGACCAGGCTGGCCTCGAACTCAGAGATCCACCTGCCTCTGCCTTCCGAGTGCTGGGATTAAAGGCGTGCGCCACCACCATCCGACAAGGTGAAACTTTTTAAGAAATGCAATTTGAATTGTTTCTTAATATAGAGAAGTCATACGTTGAGTGTGGCTTTAAGGGATGACAACAAAGGGGAGAGGTAGACTGTTGAGTAGAAGCAGTTTCATAAGCAGATGAAGATAAACAGGACGGACAGTGAAAAGATACAGAATTAAGATGACTTTATTCTGTAATTGCTAGGAGCACTGCAGTGTT